TGCCGGTGTGATTGGGTGGTTCTTGATGGTCTTCAGATTGCGAATCGACGCTTCGCACATTATCGGCGAGGGCGGAGGGGGAAACTCGTCGACCGATGGCGCGGGACTTAATTCCCCGTCTTCAATGGCCGTCGTCTGCTTGCTCAACGAGAACACAAAACAGTCCGAAGGGTTCGGCGACAACGAATGGTTCAACAGGGTGCCGGTGTAATTACTATGGCCATGGTTGCGGCCGGTCAAAGGGATCAAGTTGGAGCACTGTTGCGGTTCGCCACCACCGCCCGATGGCATCACATGCGCATAGGAACCCATACCGGCGGCGTTTGCCGACGCATACCCGTCGCGGATTTTGTTCCTCAACGAACCAAGGCGGTCGTACGCTGAAGGAAGTGTGCCAGCGGTGCCATTCCTAGTGAAACCGTTCGAAACTATGTCAGCGTGAGGCGAAATCATCATGCCATTTTCGGTCGGTGGTCTACCATTGTCCATCTTACGGAAAATCCTCTTCGGCGTCGAACACCCGTTCACTACCATCATTTCATCGACCTGCTGCGGAGCGCGGTGTACCATCGCATGCGTCTGAAATATGACGTCACTAGAGGAGCTGACATCTCGGGGTAGATTTTCGAGCCTCACGTTGCACTTCGGGAAAGCGACCTCCACTGGAGGTTGATAGAAATCCGGATAAGAGCAATCACCGGGGCTGCAGGAAGCTTGCGGTTCGGACAACAACGACTCGGCCGACCGACTGGACGTCGCCATGCCGCTGTGACGAAGGTCAGTGCGGAACGAGTTGGTCGCTCTTAAGTAAATTCTGCCGACATTCTTCGATTGCTGATTGAACGTGGTCAAAATGTGCGGCATGGAGTCAATCTTTGACGACGGAAGGAACGGTCGCATGTCGCCGGTGCCACCACGGCCCGGACAGCTGATGACCATTGTCTGCGACAGCGGACTGCATGTAGTGGACGACGACATCTTGCTGCCTTGTAGCTCGGCATCCTTCAGCTTCTTGGCCGCCAACACCAGCCGCTTCACGTGACCAAGTTTCTCAACGCCGACGTCCTCAAAATCCTCCCAGTTCATGTGCATCACGTCGTCCACGGTCTTGCAATTCTGCGATTCGAACAGAGCGATGTACTCCGCCAGATTGATGGCCGTTAACCAGTCCGCAACCGAGTTCTGAAACGAAACCAAACATTATCGTTATATGTACATCGCATCTTTCTTGAACTAACAATTTTTAAACCGTATAAATACAGATAGATCAGTCATGGTAATGGGAAGGGTGTGAAATATCAGCACAGCTAATTAACGTTTTTTTCCTGTTAGCGACAGCACCAGCTATCGTCCAGCTTAGAACAATATATTCATGATTAGACGTTTATGGGTTCTGATATGATCAGACCAAGGTATCAATAATTCGATGGGGTGAATTCCTTATTCAAGTTATTGCGCTTTTACGCATACACTGAACCATTAGCGTAAAAAAAGAAACTAATCAATCACATACCAAAGCTGTAATTCGGGGCGAATTTAGTAAAACTTTAAAATGTTAGGGCTATATTAACAGACATCGACAACTTACGACTTACTAGTGTAAAGTACGATTAACATAGCAAGAAGAAGTCATACACCAATAGCAGACCGATATGCAAATAACATTGCTAGTGTATAATTCCATACAGAAAAAAGGTTGATAATGTGTTCAAGAAAATAACATCATACAATCAGCACATACGACGAGATGCTAATTAATAGTTTTTTAATAAGAGCACAATGACCGACAGTAATTTGGCAAAGACCTTATATTATTACCTGACCTTACAACAGAACCTGGCTAACTGTAAATTAGATGCCTGAGAACATTCTGAAATTTTTTTTATAAAACCTGATTAACATCTAACGTTCTACTGAATGAAAACATATATGAGATGCAATAGATCTAAAAAACCTTAAAATGTAGCATCGAATTTAATTTCGACAGATTTATTTCTCAAGTCAGACAAACCTCACAACGGTTTATTTCTCCAGAAAAGTTACAACAGAAATTTTTGTCATCCTCTGACACCAGCGATACACTTAATACACATTAAACATTTAAACGAGTTATTAAAATAACCAAATATGAGTAACAACAGAAACAAATTATTTAAAACACAAATTTTGGCCTATTTCAATTCATATCAGATGCGCCTTAGGGTAATTCAAAATTATTTTATATAATTTGGCGAGATTATAATAAAGTTAAAAAGCGCTCACAGAATAACAAAAATTCAGTGTGAACGCTTATCAATGATATACTCAACATATGACAATCATAATATGCCGAAATCAACATCCATTAAGCAAGATGGAAGTCAGCCCTGTCTCCTCGTGCTAAATCATCGACTTCTGCAAAGCGTACCTACACACATCGGGCCACGCCATATCTAGCTAGTATAAGTAGCAGAAAAGCGCATAAACGAAACGCAAAATTTTGCGTAATTTAGGTAATGGTTCTAATTGGGGAACCTTCGCGAATGCTTCCAGAAAGGAAAATGAAACGGCTACTCTTGATAAAGAAAATCCTGTGGACAGCTAAGAACAATCTGAGGCAAAGTGTATCCAAGGACTCTGCTAAGACTCGGATTATCTTCTGCTGAAACTCAAACCATGGCATGGCATCTGGAACGTTGGAGGCACTTTCTGACGATGTTGCCTCCGTAATCCGCAGGGGCACATGGCCATCGTATGCCACTGACAATTTCGAATCATTCAGAACTAAATGTATAAACTGAAAACACCATCTCCTGAAACATCGTTTGTAATAAATGCCAGGTAGCTCTAAAAAACAAAATGATACGAGGCGCATCTGGTAGTGCAGGTGCTAAAATAGAGCGACGCAATGCATCGCGAAATCTGATCTTATTGGAAGAGTTGGGCGCCTTTAAAACCAAATGCGGTATGCTGGCACAGTTGCCTAAAAGGACTACTTCGAATTCTGGAGTTACAAATTCGACAATATTCGACGGCAATCTGTGTTTTATTCAAGAATTCCCTGAGCAACGAATTTACCACATATGAATTCTCACCGGGATTGTTCAGTCGGCACAGCGCTAACTCAAAAATGACGTGTTCTGAGTCAAATCCCGGTCAGGGTCACTCGCTCTTCTTCCTTCCAAAGTTGATAAATAACTACCACGATGTGGGAAGAAAATAGGCGAAAAATAAGGCCCTCCTGGCTGATAGCATTCGTAGGAACGGAGATCAGCACTGCACCATCAATTTCATGAAAATAAGGGCGCCAAAATGGCCTAATTATTAAAGTGAGAGAAACAGCAACAAATTTTTTTTCAAAACCACGTTTAGTTTAATTACAGATTTACAGGTTTAATTTTCTGGAATTACGAATTATCCAGGTTATGCCTTGAGTTATGCAGGTAATTTTACGTGCAATTTATTAACTAAATCTTAATCAAAAAGAAAATCCGAATTAAAGCATTTAGAATTTATAGCAAATTATTTCGTACTTTCCAGTATTTGTACTCTACTGACATTTACAACATATAATGCGCATTTAGCGACCGAGTATGATTTGTACGTGACTGACAGATTATTAAACATAACTGTTTTTGAAGCTAACAGCTAATTCATCCATGACAACTTATTTTTCAGTTGGATAGTGAAAAAGCGAATATTGCTGACACATTTATTCGGAAATAATGAAATGACCCATGTCAAAAGAGCAGTCTTAACAAAGGGAAGTATGACAAACTCTCGATGAGAATGGAGATGTCACTTTAGCTTCGGTCAGATCACGAATTT